ACGGATCAGCCCCAGCTGACCCGCCTCGGCCTGGGACCGACGAACGTGGGAGGCAAACCTCCGACGCTCGTCGGTCCCACGTCACTGATGGGGGCATCGACTCTCCGTCGATGTCCCCATCCTCCCCCCGAGTGTAGCGTCTACACTACCTCCATTTCCATTGAGAGATCGCCCCTCTCAATGGACGAAAACTCTGGGACTTCTACAGGCTTCTTCTTCTTCTTGGTTTTCAAGGCCGGGGCCGTCGGCTTCTTGAAAATTGCAGGCTCTGTAGATTTAGGCGCAACAGGAATGTTGCGTCGCTTGCTTTCTTGTAGGGTGCGGCAATATGGGCCGCCCATCCGATGGTTAGCCTCGTAACCTTTGTCCTTGCACAAGAGGCAAGAATGCTTTTCCTCCTTGCATTCGGCGATGAGGTGACCCTCGTTGCCGCACCGGAAGCATTTCGGGGTTGCCGCCTCCTTTGCTTTTGGGCATCGCATCTTTACATGCCCAAATTCCAGGCACTGGTAACACTGGAGCGGCCTGGCCTCCAGTGGGGTCACTATGGTGGCCGACCACCCGACCATCAACCGCTCCAGTGCTACTACCTTCTTCGCCGCGGCAATTGGGCATTTGGCCCATGCCGTGCCCATGCCATAAGGGGGGAATTTAATGGTCCCCACCTTAACATCCCCTACGTTGCAGCCTCCATTGGCGGCAATTGCCGCAGCAATTTCCTCCGAGGTCACGGACTCATCCACGCGCGTGACCCTCACCTCCGCCATTTTCTGCGGCACTGCGATTTTCAAGTCCGCCCTATCATGGAAAAGCTGCCGCATTTCCGTCGCCAATGCGGCGGCCTTCCTTTCGGTGTCTTCCCCGATCACCTCGAGGAGCATGGCCCCAGTAATGGCCCGTTTGGGCCTTAGCTGCCCGGGTCCTATGCCTAGTCCGCTGAGTTCAATCTTCATGCGTGCCTCCTTGATAGTGTCGGCCATAGTGGCCCCAGTGCCAGGGACCAGTGTGACCGACACAGCAGAGCTCTTGGGAACCCGCCCCACCTTCGGCTGCCCCTTCTTTTTAATCTTTTTCCTCTTCTTCTTCTCTGCGCCTCTAGGACCCTCAGTCCCAGAGGTGGTCCCACCCGCGTCCGTAGACATCTGGAGGCTTCTCGTCGAGCGCGTGCGGCCCGCTACTCTCCTCCATTCCCCGTCGTCCTCGGAGTCCGTCGCGTATGGGGTTGATGTGACCAACGCCCTCCTTGGTCTCGCATTCAACCCCCTACGGACACACTCGGCGAATGTTAGGGATTTCGCCGGCGGTCCTTTGTCGCTGATCTGCGAAGCATTCCCGGATCGGGTACTCGGACCTCGTGGAGGGGCACTTCGAGTCCCGATCAAGGGTGCCTGAGCCTCCCCTCTCGGTTTCCCGAGAATCTTTATCGTGCCCTCGAGGCGGAGCATGATTCTCTCCTCCATCTTCTCCAGTTCTCGTCGGAGAGGAGGTTCCTCCTCCTTCTTGGGCTTCTTGGCCGCAGATGGAGCCACATATTGCCCCTCCCTCACTCCGTCCAGCTCAGCCCTTAGCTTTTCCACCGTAGTTTTAAGGGTGGCGATGGTCACTTCTTGAGCGGCAACCTTCATTTGGAGGGTCGAGTTGTCCACTCTAAGTCGTATAACGTCCGTTGGGGCATGCGATCGGGCGTGCAACTCTTCTCCGACGACTTTCGTTATTTTGGCACAAAGTCGGAGCTCGCGCTTAAAATTACCCTTTAAGTTCGAGCTGTGATCAGCAACGTAACGTATCCGATCTTGCAGCTCGTACGACCTTGCGAAGAGATCGGTAGTCGATAGATCTCTTATCTCCGTTTTGATCGCCTCAATGGAGGGGAGGTTGTCCGTCTGCTTTTTCTTCCGCTTGGAGATATTCAGAGCGGCCTCCGCTTCGTCAGCCGTTGTCTCGCCGACCTCCGACTCCCCACTCTGCTCCTTCTTCATTTCCACATCCTGTTCCTTTTTCCCATCGTCGTCCTGTTCCTGTTCCTGTTCCTTTTTCTTCCTCTTTTCAACCTCCTTCTCAATTAAGGCGTCCCATTCCTCCATAGTGGTGTCCGAGGGTGGAGGTAGGCCCATAGCGGCTCTCGCGGTCGCCAGATTATCTCGCGTTCGTCTGTACCGCGCCTCTGTCGTTTCCTCCGCCGTCTTTATCATGGCCGCCATTTCGGCGGAGGGTGTCGCAGCAGTCCACTTGGAGGTACCTGGCGTTGGGGCGGTCGCTTTTCCCACTTCTGCGACCCTGCTAGCGCCGGCGCCTGTAGGAGAGGCCATTCGGCGCAGGGATGCCTCGCCCTCTGCCCTCAGGGCTGCCCTAATGTCGCCTCTGGTGGGGCTCGTAGGGCTCTTCGCAGAGCTCCTCGTTCGAACACCATGGATCGGCTCTTTGAACGTGTCCCGTCTCGTGTCCTGTGTCCTCGCCTTGTCGTCATCGCTGTTCCCGTCCGTTTTCTTTAGTTTGGTTTTTGGCATCTTGTTCGTACCGATGCTTTTTGGGTGGCGGCATACCGACCCTACTCGGCATCGAAGTCATATAATTGGGGGCTGGGTAACCGCACGGCTTACCCTCCATATCCGTGCAGGGCTAATACCGCCCGGGGAGGCCATCCCCCGGGGGTTGTCGCACTAACGACCGGCGCACCCGCCGGCCACCCCTCGGCTAGTAGTGCAAGGCCGAGGAGCGCCCCCTCGCCGTGCGTACACAGCTTAAGGCTCGGGATTTTTTATA